AAATCAACCTCTTCAAACCCGAACAATTGTGAAACCTGGATGTTCAACAATCAATCAGCGCATAAGAAACATGAGGATGAAATTCAATGCTAAAAACTTTGGACAGGAAAATTTTTCCGAAAAAATGAGGACTGCATTTTCAAAATCATCAATATACTCAAATTAGTGACGTAATTATGGAATAATAAAACAACGCTGAAGATAGATTGATTTATGATGGTAATCCTAGATATTGAACTCACTGGATTCATTATAATGGTGATTTTCATCCATGAAAAACTAGGAACTTTTTAATCAGCAATGCATTTCCTTGCACGTGTCAATGAGAGCAGTAGGTGGGTCAACAGGAAGGTATGGGAATAGTTCTTGAAAACCTCCCTCTCCCACGCCCACGCCCACGCCCACGCCCACGCCCACCCCCACCCCCACCCCACCTGGCTGAAATGCTGGCTCATGTCTGAAGTTCTGAAAAATAATTTCATCAAACAAGAAAATGCAAAAGCTTTACCTCTCTGAAGTTCTGAAAAAGCCAACTGCGGAGCCTCATGTCTTCCGGGGGAAAATCCCGGGTGCCTTTGGGAGGGTTAACGTCAATTTTATGCGCAATATCCAAATGGGTAGGTGGCAAAGCGAGTGAACCGGAGCGTCCAGTTCGCTCATTGCTTTCAGTGATGAGTGAACCAGGCTGCGGTTCTGCAGAGGACGTAGAAGCAGTAGAGTAGGCCCTGGATTTTGGGTTGGAAATGCTGAAAGAGGGAGGAAATAGAGAGAAGTTACGGCGGAAGGAGCGGAGGAGAGTGGTGGCACCGCCGTCGTGGTGGTGGTGGAGGATAAGGAGAGAAGGGTTTGTAATTGCACGCATCTTTAGCAATTCTCTACATAGTTTTGGCGAAAAGGAGCACTTAAACGGGAATTTGTATGGAGGGAATTGAGTTATTGGTCCCCAACGTATAGCCCCAACAGCAAATTAGTGTCCAATCTTTTGAAAAGAACACATTTGATCCTCAAGTTTCGTGGTATTTGCAAATCAATCCTCATTCTTTCATGTTTGGAGTGAAATTGATATGCAAGCTATAAAAATTCCGTCTTCATATGATTAAAAGGGGTTGGATATAATGTTAGCATCATGCTTTGAAGGAATCTACACTAAAATGGGAGCTCAAAGAAACTTTTAAGCCTTGTTTGAGGCATATTTTTTCCACCCAAAAAGTAAAAATTGGACCGTTTCTCGTCAAATCAAGCCACCAATTTTGACCATACAACTCATGTGTGGGCCCCCTTGTTTGAATTTAACTAGCAAAATTCTAATTCTTGGGTGGAAAGAATCTGCCCCAAACAGGGGCTTAAGGTCAAGGTTTTGTCCGAAGAACATGTGTGGAAAATTTCCGATGATGTTGTAGGGTTTCATTGTCCTACCGATGTAAAATCTGTAGCAAAAACACTTGCCAAGGAATGTGTGGCTTACCCCTTGTCCTCGTAATGGTTGGAAAGGCACTTAAAAGTAAAGCGGCGCACGCATGGAGGGATGCACTTCAAAAAGTAAAGGAACTCTAGTGTGACCAATATCCAAGGAGTGCATAATTTGTTATGACCCAATACTCAAGAATAGAATTTGCCCAAAATGTAAGATAAAAGCTCTTCAAATTGCAGCCCAGGCCATAACTAATTAACCATTACAATACATTCATTATACATGCCTACATCTACTGCATAAATTGAGTCTGAGACTGTGACTCCTTCACCGTGAAGTGCCCCTGCAGCCACGCTTTTACCGCATGCCTGCTGCACCCGCACGCCCATTCAGCTACGTCGCACTCCCTTGTAGCCTGTAGGTGAGTTTTCTATAATTTCTATCAGTATTCATCTGCCCCTCATGCCAGTTTGTTTGACTGTTTCAATGTTCCATGTTTAGGGAAAATTTTGAACTGATGGGCGGTGGCTAATGGCTAAGACTGGGAGGAAATATGAAGAAAATAAATAAATAACCACAAGTTTGGGAACAGGCCGGACGGCAAATTCAGGCACTTGTTGGGTTGCCAGTTATCATTGCATGTTAGATGTTTGTGTAATTGTGTTTGGGAAAACATGCAAAATGGCAAAATAATTAGGTAATAGCCAAAGCCCAAATAGGAATAACCAGTAACTTGTTGGCTTGTTGACATGTTGTTGCCTGTTTGGGAGAATATGAAGAATAAGTGAATCGATAATGCTAATTTACGAAGGCACTAACCACTAACCAGTCATGAGTGATGAGTCACTAGTGCACTATGGTCTATGAGTCACCAGTAAATCAGTAATGTTATTTAGTAAATAGGTAATTGTCTTGCTATAAATTTCATATTTTATTTTGTTTATTTACATTCCAATTCCTATTTATTACAGTCAGTCATGGAAAGATTTTATAAAAAAAGGTATTGAGGTTGTAGAAAATGTTAATGAGGTGAC